AGATATCTCATTGGTTTTACACACAGTGTAAAGCATATTCTTATAAACAGTTACACTGGCCTGTGTAACAGGCACGCATGCTGAAACGCACAAATTCTTGCATTCAGAAAGAAAGTTGCATGACCTGACATGGGAGGAGAAACGAAGGCAAGTGGAACAAGGAGTATGAAACCACCTTCTGAACTGTTATTTGCAAGGCTGGTCTAATCTGTTTACTGAGCTTCACTAGGAGTGACTTCCACCTAACTATGGTGAAGTGCTATTTACTCTTAAGTCACGTGAATATATTCATTTTTATTTCCTGGTTGACTAACACTGGAAGCAAGTAAACATATTTCCCTCAGCAGAAAACATTTTCAGATTGGGACCAACCAACTTCTGTATTTTCTGGAACTATTCTATTCTATAGAGAGGTGGCCAAAGACAAGCTCAGCGATAGAGTGTGTTGCTTACGGAAGGTCCCAGATTCCAACTGGCGAGATCTCTGGCAGCAGAAAAGGATCTCTTCCTGAGACCTTACAAATTATACCTTTGAAGCCCATTTCCCCCTTCAAAGAATGCGGAACACTGTAGTTTGTCAAGAGTTGCTGGGAATTGTATCTAGGAAGGGTTAACTACAGCAATCAGAATTCTCTGAGGGCCTTTAAATGTGCTTTAAAGGTACCGTGTGTACACAGCCTAGATGGACCAACTGCCCTACTCAGCATGAGACAACTCTTTATAAACTTCTATGCCTTCTTAGAAGTTCTGAGAAGATGTGCTACAACACTTAAGACAGACCTAATACTTCAGAGTAGGCGGTCTCTTATACAGAGAGTTTTTGACAATAACTTTCATTTCCATTATTTCCCCCCTAATTCATAAATGCAATGACTAAGTCTCACTAAATGAGCACTACTAACAGCGCCTCGGTCTTATCTGGATTGAGCTTCAGTTTGTTGGCTCTCATCCAGTCCATTACTGAGGCAAGAGACTGGTCCAGCACTTCCACTGCCTCACCTGAAGATGTAAAGGAGAAATAGAGCTGAGTGCCATCATAATATTCCTGGCAATGTACTTCAAAACTGTGGATGACACCTCTCTCTGTAATTTCATGTAGATGTTAAACAGCACGAGGGATAAAACTGAACCCTGAGGACCCCCACATTGAAGGCTCCACGGGGCTGAAAAACACTCCCTTCTGGGAACGACCACCCCACTGCAAAGTGGAGCTACTGATCCCTAACTTAGAGAGCCACTCCAGAACAATACCATGGTTGATGGTATTAAAAGACACTAAAAGGAATTAATAAGGACCCATTTCCCCTGTCTCTCTCCTCACAGAGGAATCATACAGGGTAATCATCTGAAACTGTTTCTATGCCAAAACCAAGCCTAAACCCTGATTGAAATGGATCTAGAAAATCAGTTTCCTCCAAGGATCTGGTCAGCAGCGGAGCCTCTTGGGCACCTGGGGCAGCGGGGGCACCCATAGGGATGGCATGGAGCACGGGGCGCCCTTAGGGAGGGACGGGACGCATGGGGCCTCAGCCGCCCTACAGCTGGGGGGGCAGCGGGTGGACAGAACAGAGCCTGTGGGTGCCGAGACACGTGGCTCGTGCACGCTGCAGGCCCTGCTGTGTGCCACCCGCCATTTTGTCACACACACACCCCGTCAGGGTGGCACCTGGGGCAGACCGCACCCCCCTTCTTACGCCCCTGGATCTGGTCCACAACCACCCACTCAAGTACATTGTCCAAGAAGGGGAGGCTGGCAACTGGCCGGGAGTTAGATTTTCTGAATCCAGGGATGGTTTCTTGAGGAGTAGTTTTTGCACTGCCTCCTTCAAGCACCACCACCCCCGTTTCAAGGAGGTATAATTTCCCTTAAAAACGCTTAAGTCTGACTCCTATTTGTTCTTTCAGTAGCTTGATGTTTCTGCTTTGATGCTGGCGCAAATACTGATTATACTTTATAATCAAATGTCATGCCCTAATTAACAGGTTGGGTTTGTTCTTTTTATTTCTGTTATCTCCATTCTCAACTTGCTAAATGCGTCTCGTCTTCCGTTCTTTCTCATTCCAACTGCACATGTGCTTCACTGTTTCACTCCAGTTCCTAATCAGATGGAACAGGTGGTTGTGTATGAAGCCTCATGCTATAATGAAAACAGAAGCCCCGGTCGGTTCAGCCCCAAAGTCCATCTAAGGCAAGCATAGCATTGCTAACAGTGGCAACTTAGAAACTCATAGGCACAGGAACACAGGTTAGCTAGCTCCTATGTACCAGGTTATGTCATTGGTCCACTGAGCTCAGTATTGTCTACACCAGGAACCTCTGAACCTTTGGGGTCCGGGGGCATAGCAAAATACCCATTCCACGCAAGAAAAACTGGCAATGCTCACTATTCCTCGCCCCCCCCTCCAAAAACTTCTCAATTTTGAAAAATCAGGAAGGTCAGGGAAACTTGACGGGCACCAAAGGGTCTGTGACAGGGGCTTTCCAGGATTTCAGACCCCGTGATCTTCAAATACAGTCTTCCCTCAAACTATACAGGAAGGCAACATCCCTTCCGCATTGATTGTCCCCAGAATACCAACCATGGTGATTCAGGTGACATAGAACTTTGGGTCTGGGGCTTCCTCTGGAGTATTCAGCAATGGGGAATTACTTAGGAGTGTTCTGAAAAATTGGAATAGAGCCACACATTTCAGTCGCAATTTAACTCTTAGGAACCTGCCGGGGAGTCCTGGCCTCATGCACCTCCTCCCTGCACTGCACACAGAACGTACAGAAGAAATGCCTCCCTAAATCAGGTTCCATGTAGCCCAGCCCTGCTTATCCTGAAAGTAACCAGAGAGAAGGTTGGATGTTTGCAGCCAATTATGAAGACAACATGCAACCTTGTCATTGTCTCCAGTATCTGGTGGTAGCCTATGGAGGCTTCATTCGTGGCCTGCTAATCACTGCTAAGAAATCCATCCTTCATTAGTATTGTCTAATCCACTGGTCTTCAATTGGTGGATCAAGGCCCATTAGTGCATTGTGGCCTGATCCAAGATGGGTTGCAACAGGGAAAAGACCATCATGCAAAGAAGATTTAAGAAATGGGTCCCCAAATGCATGTTTGGGTTAAAAGTGGGTCCTGGGCCTGAAAAGGTTGAAGATACCTGGTCTAATCCTTCTAAAATGTCATTTAAGCTAGGGGCCATAATCACATCTGTAGAAGTATCTCCCACTTTAGGTATTGTTTTGTACATGTGTTGTACATGGACTAGAAGGTGGCAGGAGAAGAAGTGCAGAAGCTTGAGACTGCCTCTCAATCTTGCTAACTGCCCTGTCCCAAGATGAGAGCATTCTGAAGGGAAGTGCTTTAAGAACTGCTGCTTCAAGAATTCATCTTGAGAAGGAGAGTTTGCAATCTGGATTTTGCATTCTGAAAAGGGCCTGAAGATGTACACACTCTACCCTCAAAACACACTCGTCATTTCCCTCAAATAATTCTCGGCACAGTAAATTATCCCTCACAGACATACCAGTTTCAGCAACCCTCACAAACTACAGTGCCCAAAATTATTTGGGGGAAAGAATGTGCTTTGAATGTACTTTAAAGGTCGAGTGTGTACACAGCCTATATCTACATTTTCTAATTCTACAAATAAGGAAAAGAAGTGGGAGGATGGGAGAGGACTAGCTTAGTGGTGAGGCTTGATAAAGCAATTACAACTGATCTTTGGAGACAAGGAAAATACAGATGACCCAAGACTTTCTGGTGCCTGAGGAATAAAATCCAAGTAGTGCCCCAATGATGGTAAAAATATTACAGTACTCTTATAATTGGCAATTGCCACCCTTTAATAGCAATAATATGCTATCTGATATTATTCTGATTCTGCATAAGGATAATGCTGCACTGGCCATGGAAGAGTTTGCCTGCGTTTTTTAAGCTTTCAAAATTTAGAATTGCTGCAAACTGAACATTCATCTTAATATGCTGATTTGCTTAGTTCCAAATCTTCTTTACGTTAAAAGAGAAGGGTTTGCTTCTGGAAAACCTGCTACCCTGGTTTTCTTTTCACAACAGCAAAACACAAACTGCTAGCTGAAATATGAACAAATACGTTGTTGTCAGACTCTAAGACAAAAGCAGACCAAAATAAGAAGAAGAGCGGGTGAAATTGCAGGAGGTTTCACTATTAGAGGGAGTCGACATGCAGCATTCTCACAAGAGTGTTCTTCTTTCTGTTTTTCATCCAACAAGTGCAAGTGCAATCCAGGAAATAAGAACAGGGCCTGCACGCCACAATTTACCTCCAGTGCAAGACTATCGTGTTTTGCTATTCTCTCTAGGCCAAATGGCGTCCGACTGGAGCGGAGCAAAGCTCCTCCACAGCCAGTGAGAGACTGTTTGCCTTTGAAGCATGTAACATTTGTAGAACTATCACACTAACAAACAAGCCTTAGGGGTTGAATTGTATTGTTAACTGTATACATTTTAATCTATCTGATCTTATTATTTATACGTTAATTGAACATTAACCAAGAAAAGGCATTTTGCTTTAAGGGCACCTGGCACAGCAGACCTGAGTGTGCAAGAGGCATTCCCTCCTTTCCTGAGGCAGAAAGAAGAATTCCTCTTCTAAGATGGCACCTGCCAGAAATGTTGTTGTTGTTTTGGAAAGAATCACCATCTTTTACAAACTCTGCCGGCCAATTAATCAGGGTGCCCTCTTAGTTGAAAAAGAGGAAATAATTCATATTAGGGATGAAGTCTGAATTTGCTTTTTGTTTAATTAAGCCGTGACTTTTCTGTGTAACATTAAATAAAGTTATGCTCCGAGGAAACTCTGAGTTGGAGCCCAAACTGAGCAGGTTAATCCAGTTAGGTTCAGTTAATCCACCTGAACTATTACCACTCGCTGATCCCCTTTGCAGACAACCATTTCCTGCAGAGGACCCCGGGATCGAAGCAGAAGAGGGATCTGCCCCGATGGGCGCCCCCGAGTCTTGTCCAGCCTACCTCGCTTTCCCCTCGCGCCCCTTTCCTCCAGCCGAAGCGACAGCTGCCCTGCAGACGGACGAGAAGAGACGTGAGCAAAGGATCGAGGCCATGGCGGGCGGGAGCAGCGGGGAAAGGAAGAAAGCGCCCCAAGGGCTCACTTACCGCAGCGTCGCTTGCGCGCACTGGATCCTCCGCTCCAGCCCGGGCGCTTCCCCACCTCCTCGGCCCCGGAGAGCCGCCCTGCCCTGCCCCCGGGGGCGGAGGGAAGCTCTCCCGTCCCGCCCAGCCTCGGCTCCGGAGGCTCGTGGAAAGCGAGGAGGCGCCGCCAAGTGCCCCGAAGTCGGGTCTCCCGGGCGGAGCAGACACTTGCCGCGCCATGCCTTGCCCTCCAAAACGGAGGACGCCACACAAAGGGGGGGACGACGACCCTCATTAACTACAAACCCCGAAATATGGGGGGGCCTCCAAACAGGTGCCCAACTTTTGCCGGCGCTTGCACCGTGAACCCCACGTTTTGCAGCAGCCGCTCCCAAACTGAGTAGCCGATGCATCAAACCCGGTTAACACCCCGAAATCCAACATTGGGAGCAGATCCCAAATCTCGGGGTTCATAGTTTGTGAGGCTGGAGAAATGAAAAGGAACAGAAGGGGGACGTGTGTACAGTGCAGAAGGTATTCAGTCAGATGGTTGAAAATAGGGTTTTTTTGGGGAGGGGTGTTCTCTCCAACCTCTTCATTCCAATCGCTTGGTTTTTTGTTAAGACTAAGTAGCCTTAACGAACTACCATTCCCAGGATTATTGTTAAAAAGGTAAAGGTAAAGGTACCCCTGCCCGTACGGGCCAGTCTTGACAGACTCTGGGGTTGTGCGCCCATCTCACTCAAGAGGCCGGGAGCCAGCGCTGTCCGGAGACACTTCCGGGTCACGTGGCCAGCGTGACAACGCTGCATCTGGCGAGCCAGCGCAGCACACGGAAACGCCGTTTACCTTCCCGCTGGTAAGCGGTCCCTATTTATCTACTTGCACCCGGAGGTGCTTTCGAACTGCTAGGTTGGCAGGCGCTGGGACCGAGCAACGGGAGCGCACCCCGCTGCGGGGATTCGAACCGCCAACCTTTCGATCGGCAAGCCCTAGGCGCTGAGGCTTTTACCCACAGCGCCACCCGCGTCCCACCCTCAAACTGCAGTTCCCAGGATTGTTTTAAGCACTCTTAACAAACTACAGTTCCCAGGGGGCACCATTTTCCGGTTTGCCTCAGGCAGCAAAATGTCTTGGGCAGGCTCTACCTCCACAATTTCAGACAAAACTAAGAGACGGGGGGCACCAATCAAAGTGTTTTAGGGGTTGATGTGGTACCTTCTCAAGGTACCTGGTGGGCTCTCCTTCATTTGAGGTTTTCAAGTAGAGGTTGTATGGCCACCTGTTCGAGATGCTCAAGCTGAGATTCCTGCCTATTGCAGGGGCTTGGACTAGATGACCCTCAGGGTCCCATCCAATTCTGCAGTGAGACTCCTGAACATGCATACAGCACCATTAGATAAATGGACTAACAAATGTATCTTCACACCTGTGCTAACAACAATAGTACTGCTAATGACAGCAGTTTAATGACAGCCTATTGTTTTGTTCATTTGGTCCATGGTGATCTTTATTCCATGCCTTGTTCCGGATGTAGATCTTCACTCAACCCTTTTTTCTTGGACGTCATTTGTGGTTTGCCTCAGGTGCCAAAATGTACTCTTGTGTCTGCTGCCATCAGGTCTAATTTTGTCCTAAAGCAGTGCTTCATTTCTAGAGAGAGATGGTGTATCTCAGGCCTGCCATCTACTCTGGAGAAAAGTCCTGTTTCTTAATTTTAAAAACTAGGCATAGGACGCATTTGCTCAGTGAGGAATAAAATGAGCTCCATACAGGTTCAGAGGTTTTAGTAAAAAAAAAATATGGGAGTAGGAATGTTAAATGACATCATTGAAGAAGGAAGAGTAGACTGCAAGTTCACACACCATGACTTGCTTCATACAGCTTTGTTGGCACGTAAGGGACAAGGGACAAAGTTGCAGAATAAGAAATCCCTGATGGATGCATTAGAAACTATGTCCTAGAATTTGCATCCACTGCCTGTTTAATCAGGATATAGGCAATGCACCCTTTGTTACCAGTGTTCCAGTACCCTTCTTCTGGCAGACGGTCTGGGTTTGCACAACAGCATCATTAACACGGAGACTTGGGAAGGAGGGTTCTCTTGGGTTAGCGGTCACCCTAAGGGGAAACAGGTCCCTCCCCCTAGAGGAAATGGACTGATCGGAACCAGTCTATGACATCAGCTCAGAATCCCAACCTCACTTGGCAGTTGAGGCCCAGCCTTGGCTCAACAGCTCTTGGTTGGCTTAGCTGGACAGCGAGAAACGAGAGCGAGAGACTATCAGCAAAGTCTGAAGGTCAATGGGTGCAAAATTGGCAGCCGCATGGAAGACGAAAGCAAGGAGGAGACCCCGAATCCTGAATGGCTGCAGGAAACGGAAGAAGAGGGGTCTGTACTAGAGGAAGTCATCCAAGGGCCGCCCCACAATATTTCAGCTGCAGATGCTGCAGAGGGGCTGTCTGGTGACAACACCACAGGAGTGATTGAGGTCCTCCCTTCTGACAACGATGAGGAAGCACCCCTGAGTGACTCAGGCGCCGCAACTGGCTCCTTCTCCTGCTATGGGACCCATGGGGAGCTCCTCCACTACCAGCTCCCCAGATGCCCGGAGTACATAGAGAATGTGGACCCCCAACTGGGCAGGAAGAAGATCCCCCCCCCACAAAGGGGGAAGGACCCCACCACAGGGCTCCGTTGCCTCTCACAGCGGCCAACGTGGGCCAAAAGTGCCCCCAAAGAGGAAGCACCTAGGGGGCTTGGAGAAGGAGACAGCCGCAGGAGGGGAGCTGAAGTCCCAGCTGCAGAAGCAGCAGCCTCTGCCCGGTCGAGGACAAAGGGCGGGACCCAGCCATGTTTGTGACACTGGCAGCATGGAGGCTGCTGGGGGCGCCAGGAGAAGTCCCCCTCCTGAGGCCTGGGGACCCAGCACCAGCAGCCCTCCCTCCGCGATCATGGCATGGAAAAGCAAAAAACCAAAGCACATCCAATGGGCAGATGAAGAAGAAGAAGACCAGAGCTCTCTGCCCCCCCCCCGAGCCAGAGGAGGAGGCGAAGCAGCTGCAGGACTTGGGGTCCCTGGAAGAGCATCCTGGCCTCCCCGCCCCGGAAGATCAGAGCAGCCAAGGGCCACAGAATCCACCTGCCGAGGGCCCGGGGCCCCCTGCGCCCAGCCCCAGCCGGAGCGGGGCGCCAGCCAAGAGGCGGCTGCTGGGCATGAAGGCGGCTGAGGCGCCGGCTGCGTGTGTCCCTCCGCGTAGGAACAGCGCCGCGTCCCAGGACGAGCTCTGCTAAGCCCCGCCCCCAGGCTCGGGTCTCCTCCGAAGAGGAGGAAGTGAAGCCCCGCCTTCCACCTCGCGGCTCCATCCCCAACTGCCCTCAGCCTGCGCCAGGAAGCCAGCAGCCTTGATCGACAGCTCACGGAGGAAGAACACGGGGAAGCGGGGCGCCGGGCCGGCCAATGGGAGGCGGCGCCCTGGCGGCGGCGGCCATTGAAATCAGAGGCTGGCTCATGTAATTCTAACCTTGGCCATATATTTTGCTTAGTTCTTCCAGAATTGCCCCCACCCCTAATTGAGAATGCCTTTCAGGAGCTGCAACAAAACAAACTGAAGAGCTGAGAAATGTTCCCACCCATTTGATTTCCTTAATGCACTTTCCTTAAGTGCACCAGACAGTTCATTGATTTGGGAAACATGTATGTTGGAAACTTGAGACTTGCTCCCATCTTCATGAGGATGAAATGTTCACTTTTACATGTACCGTATGCCTTCCTTTTGGGTCCCCTGAAGCCCGCAGATCAGTTCATATAGTAAGACTGCATACAATATTATAAAACAGAATAACAGCTTCACTTTTAAAAATGAGAACAAGAATGCTGAGAACAATTTTTTTTATTTGGGTACCTGGTGGAAGAGATTAGTCTCTACTAACTTTTCAAAGAGTCTACTTAGTAGAATGAGCTTGGCATAGATTGCTTAGGAATACTATAAAGGCTGCCACTATCCAAAAAGCTTTATTTCAATATAGAAATGCAAGCTTGAGTTGTTGAGTGTAGTCTCAATATTCTCTCTCTCTCTATATATATATATGAACTTTGCTATATGTCTTTTGAAGGTTTTTGGGATCAGAGTTGTTCATTAAATATGCTACATTTCCTAGCTCTTTGCGCTTTAAATTTTCTAGCCTGGAGCTATTTGCTGCAAACTGGCCTAGTGTAGCCTTGAGGCCCTTTTGTGAAGCCAATTTGCTCTCATTAAAATGAAATCTAGTTTCTCAGCATTCTCAAGATCCTGGCCCTTGTCATTTAAGAGAAGCCTTAGTTGAATAAGTTACCTGTTACAACCTACGTTAGTTTAGCGTGTTCCTGTAATCAGTAGATTTAAGTCTTATATTTTATAGTGGGAATTATCACTGGCAGTAAAAACCTAGGTCATGACATTTTATATTTTTATTCATGTTCTAAGTACTTAATACTTGTTTCCATTTCAGATCTTGTGAAAAGCGGTATGATAATTGTGTGGTGGTGGATTTTCTGGATAGAGGCTTTCCTCCTAACGTAAGCTAATTTAGAGAGGTTTGTGGAAGGAGAGTTTCCGATATCCTCTTCCTCATGAAGGCACCTGTGTCCCAAAAGACTGTAAAATAGATTAATGCTTTTTTTTAATTAACATATGAAGTTCAATTGTATAAGGTTGAGTATTGGATTGCTGCCATCATAATATTCCAGCATAATTGTTCATGAACAGTAGATTTGCCACAAGTGGTGAAAAATAAGTCTGGAGTATTTTTCTGTGTAGTACACTATTTTAAAAAATAATAAAATCTTAAATATACTGAACACAAATTTACTGTGAAAGTACTTCTCTGTCTCTTTACTGAAAGTGCTGTATTTTTGACATGTACCCACTACATTGTGCATAAAAAGGTAAAGGGACCCCTGACCATTAGGTCCAGTCCTGACCGACTCTGGGGTTGCGGCGCTCATCTCGCTTTAGTGGCCGAGGGAGCCGACATACAGCTTCTGGGTCATGTGGCCAGCATGACTAAGCTGCTTCTGGCGAACCGGAGCAGCGCACAGAAACACCGTTTACCTTCCCGCCAGTAAGCGGTCCCTATTTATCTACTTGCACTTTGACGTGCTTTTGAACTGCTAGGTTGGCAGGAGCAGGGACCAAGCAATGGGAGCTCACCCCGTCGCGGGGATTCGAATCGCCAACCTTCTGATCCGCAAGACCTAGGCTCTGTGGTTTAACCCACAGCACCACCCACGTCCCACACAGTGCCACCCACGTCCCACATAGTGCATACGTGTGACATAATTGCATGGGAGGAGCTACATGCTGATTTTACTTTGACATGGAAGTATGAAATGTGTAATGACCTTGTGTCATTATGTTTGCTTTTCCAACGCATAATCATATACTGTGGAGGAAAGTATGAAGTTCCAAGTGTCTTACATATATTTAAATTAACACAGCACCATGCCTTACTTTCCTTACATAAATTAATTTCCGTATGCGGGGGGGGGGGGAGTATACTTTGCAATGTTGAAGCAAGTGTATTTTTTTTAAAAATCAATTACACAGATCTGAAAGTTTAGCATGTGTCAGCATTGAAGGCCCTTCCCACCCAGTCGCCTGTGACTGGACTTAACCGTCCAGGAGTCCTTTACCTTCTTTACCTTACACCTGTGCTACTTTGGGGTTTTGCTACAACTGATTGCAAGAATAGTGTGGAGCAGAGACATTGTTGTTGTTTTTTAAAAGATATTTATTAGAATTTTACAACATGAAAAAAGAAAAAAGAAAAATACAAAATCAAAATAGATAAAAAACAATTCCATCTTTCCATCACTTTCTTTCATTTGCTTATTTCCCGGACCTCCTCACACCTCCCTTTTTGTATTCCAGTTTGATTTATTAGTTCAGCAAATCCTTCCCCTCTTTGTTTTATCCTAATCTCTAATCTTAAAATAAAGTAACATTAAATTTTTGTCTGTTAATTGTCCTTTTTTCCCCCCCATACTCCTTATAGCGTTATAGCTAAAAACCACATAACTTTTCATCCAACATCATTCTAACATTCATTAATTTTACAATATTTCTGTAGGTAGACTTTAAATTTCTTCCAATCTTCTTCCACCAACTCTTCTCCCTGGTCTCGGATTCTGCCAGTCATTTCCGCCAGTTCCCATATAGTCCATCACCTTCATCTGCCATTCTTCCAGGGTGGGTAGATCTTGTGTCTTCCAATACTTTGCTATAAGTATTCTTGCTGCTGTCGTGGCATACATGAAGAAAGTTCTATCCTTCTTTGGCACCAATTGGCCGACTATGCCCAAGAGAAAGGCCTCTGGTTTCTTCAGGAAGGTATATTTAAATACCCTTTTCATTTCGTTATATATCATCTCCCAGAAAGCCTTAATCCTTGGGCACGTCCACCAAAGGTGAAAGAATGTACCTTCGGTTTCTTTACATTTCCAACATTTGTTATCGGGCAGATGGTCGATTTTTGCAAGCTTGACTGGTGTCATGTACCACCTGTATATCATTTTCATAATATTCTCTCTTAAGGCATTACATGCCGTAAACTTCATACCTGTGGTCCATAACTGTTCCCAGTCAGCAAACATAATATTGTGTCCAACATCTTGTGCCCATTTAATCATAGCAGATTTCACCGTTTCATCCTGAGTATTCCATTTCAACAGCAAGTTATACATCCTTGACAAAATCTTAGTTTTGGGATCTAACAGTTCTGTTTCCAATTTTGATTTTTCCACCTGGAATCCCAATTTTTTTATCTGAATTGTATGCCTCCATTATTTGATGGAGCAGAGACATTGCACCCCAGAGACCCTGCAGTGGACTTGGGCCAGGGAGGGGGGGCTCCTTGCATATCTTCAAGCCGTGCTTAGGGGGCAGGGAATAAATAAATAGATGATGATGACAAACGTTAGATGCAGAAGACACTGGGCTGCTGGGGGGGGGGAGGTGGATAAACAGATCTAGAACAGTCATATCTATATACTGTATATACAGGAGAAAGGCGCTTAAGCGCCCCCTGAGGCGCAGTCGCTACGCCTTTCTCTAGCCCTCCTCCAATGATGGGGATGGGGAGGGGGGCAGGCCTCCGCCTCCTCCTCAGCTCTGCGGGGAGAGAAAGACGCCTCTCGGCCGCCGCCGCCGCCTCCTCCTCCCTTCCCTGGCGTCCCTCGGTTACCAGGCAGCGGCTGGCGAAGCGCTCTGAGGGGAGCGCTCCTCCTCCTCCTCCTCCTCTGCCGGCTTCTCGGGGGAGAGAAGGCCGCGGCGCCGGGCGAGGAGGATCCTGGGCGGGCCCGTGGCGGCGGGAAAGGCCTCCGGCGCCGCCTCCGCTTCTGGGGCAGGTAAAGAGCTTCCCTCCCTGCCCCTCCCCGTCTCGAGGCCGGGCAGCCGAGCGCAGAACGGAGCAGGGCTCCAGGGGGGCATCTAGTCGAGCCCGCGACCCCGAGAGGGGCCTGGGGCGAAAGGAAAGAGACCCAAGAAAGCCAGGCGCGCCCCCTCCCAGCAGGGCTTCCCCGAGGGACCCCTCAAATTGCCCCCCCCCGGCCCCCGCATGGAAGCAGTCTTCCTTGCACAGCAATTCATTTGGGTGCCGTTGCTCTTGAATGGATCTCCTCATACTCCTCAAGCAACAGGATCGTGGATCATTTTCATCGCAACAATACACAAATAAGTTCTTCGTAGCCCTCAGGCAGGGAGCCGGCTCAGCTTCTTTCCCAGGTGTCCCCTGCAAGCTCCTGTGCTCCATTTCTAAAGAAAAGCCAGATGCCAAAGGAGGGACAAGGCCTTCAGGGGGTGATTTGGCAGGAGCAGGTGGCCGTGCAAAGGGAAGAAAAGCTGCCCCTTCCGAAATGCCCAAGTTGGAAGAGGCACAAAGCGTCCTCTAGTCCAATCCCCCTGGGTAGGCAGTCACAATGTCAATTAAACATGAACTGTTAAAAAACTAACTTTCGTGTGCATGCACACTTCTTCAGATACTATTATACTAAGCCCATAAGGTACACGCTTTAACTTGTGCTTAATGTGTGTGGCAAAATTATTATTATTACTATTAATTAAAAGGATTATATTGGTGAGAGGACTCTTAGTATCTGTTTACAGATGCACAGTTGTCATTTAATGCATGTGGCTGCTGCATCCTTGTATTCAGCGTTTCCCGTTTTCCTTATTTTTCTCCTTTTCATAACTATTTCCTCAGATCAGGGGTAGGCAACCTAAGGCCCGTGAGCCGGATGCAGCCCAATCGCCTTCTCAATCCGGCCCGCGGACGGTCCAGGATTCAGCGTGTTTTTACATGAGTAGAATGTGTCCTTTTATTTAAAATGCATCTCTGGGTTATTTGTGGAGCATAGGAATTTGTTCCTATATTTTTTTCCAAAATATAGACTGGCCCACCACATGGTCTGAGGGACGGTGGACCAGCCTACGGCTGAACAAGGTTGCTGACCCCTGCCTCAGATCCTTAATGGTCTGCAGCAGAAATAAAATCTATTGAATGTTTTTGAACCACTGAGGTTTCTTGGGATGCCTATTCCTTTTAGTAGCATGGTACAATACAATTCTACTGTCCGCAATCAAATCCCTCGATCTATAAAGTCCATTCCTCTTCCAGCATCTACGTTTATCAAAGCCATGAAAAAGTGTTTCCTTCAGTTCTATTTTCTTGATAGGTAAGTGCTCTTTAAGACCTTGCAGAATGCTTCGATCTCTTTTCCAGTATCTGATGTCAGTCACGGACTGGATAAGGCTGAACGAGTTGAGACAAAACATTGGCGCTCCCGGTCAGTTGGGAGAAGGCTCAGGGAATAAGAATTCAACTTGTGTTGGATGGGGTTTCACTCCCCTTGAAGAGTCGGGCTCACAGTTTGGGTCTACTCCTGGATTCGGTCCTGAACTTGGATCTCCGCATTCTCTCTCTTTTTTTTATAAGATATTTATTCAAGTTTGACAAATACAAAAGAGAGAAATACAAACAATTAAAAAATTCAAGAAAAAAGAAAAACCATTTTAAAAAGCAAAAACATTCAGAAAGAAAAAGAAAAAACCCCTAGTTCCATATCCTTATCTTTCATTTGCTTGTTTCGTTAACTTCCTCACACCTCCCTTTTTGTATTCAATTTCAATTAATTGTTTCAGCAAGTCCTTTCCCTATTTCTCAAAGTCAATTCCATAATTCATCTTAACACAATTTAACTTTAAAATTTTACATCTTTACCCATAGTCAATCTATTTCTTACTTAATTCTTAATGACATTTCTACTAAAGCCCATTAACTTCAATCCAACATCATTCTAACATTCATTAATTTTGCAATATTTCTGTAAACAGTCTTTAAATTTCTTCCAATCTTCTTCCACCAACTTTTCTCCCTGGTCTCGGATTCTGCCAGTCATGTCCGCCAATTCCATATAGTCCATCACTTTCATCTGCCATTCTTCCAAGGTGAGTAGTTCTTGTGTCTCCGCGTTCTCCATAATTATGGCATATGCGCCAAATGCGCCCACTGGGACACATGCCACTTGAACTACTGTAACGTGTTGGGGGCTGCCCCTGTTAAAGCAACTTCACTGGCTGCTGGTCCGTTTCTGAGCACAATTCCAAGTGTTGGTTATATGGCTTTGGCCCAGGCCACATGAAATATATTTCACTGGTACTGTACTGAGATCCTTGGGTGAGCAACTTCTCTCAGTGCCACCAGCATCAAAGGCATGGCAAGGGAGAATGTTTTTCTGTGGCTGCTCACTGTGGCGTTCGTACGGAGCCCCCGGTCGTCTCACGGACTATTGACCCGTACACCACTAACCCAAGTCAGTGACTATTTCACTGGCAAAGCCCAATCTACTCATATCGTTAATTGAAGCAGTTGCCACCGTTTCCGTTTCAATGTTTTGCAACGGAATGGCTTCTGGATATTTGGTTGCGTAATCCACTATGGTGAGGATGTATCTGTTTCCCCGCCTGCTGGCTCTAGGCAAGGGCCCTCTCAGGTCCAGCCCTAACCGTTGAAAAGGGTTTGATATGATAGGCAAGGGGCACAATTTGGCTTTTGTTTTGCCTCTTCTCTGACATATGTCACAGGCTTGACAGTATTGTTTTGTTTCCCCATGGCTGGCCAATAAAATTTTTGAGCCACTCTCCGTTTTGTGCGTGTAATACCCATATGCGCTCCAAATACACTATTGTTCCCGATGGCGGGCGGCGGGGGGAGGCGTTCCCGCCCGCCGCCCGGTTTCGGAGGAGGTCCGAGGACAGCGGGGAAGACGCGCTGCGCTTCCCTGCTGTCCCGGAGATTTCCCTATGGGCTGTCGTCTTGCGAAGCAAGCCCATAGGGAAATTCGTTTTGCGAAGCGCCTCCAAAACGGAAAACCCTTTCGTCTAGCGGGTTTTCCGTCTTGCGAGGCGTTTGTCTTGCGAGGTACCACTGTATCTTCTTTTTGCTTTTTGGCAAAACTTGGAGTTTGACTTTTAGTCAAAGAAACAAAAAGGTGTTTTTTCTTTCCTCACACTGATTATCCCCTTGCTGTCCTTCAGCATTGTCTGCCTCTGCTACTGTATCCACCCCCTCAGGATTAGGTGACTGTGGGCTCCCTTTTGCTCTGGTAACTATGAAAGCTGCGTTTTCTCTGCTCTCCCGGGAGGGCTTTTAAAGGCAGGCAGGCAGGCAGGCAGGCAGGGGGGACAAAGATTTTCGCCCCCCGCCAGCCTTCAGAAGAGGTCAACTGGCCATTTATTGTGTCGTAAAATTGCTCCAATGCCATCACTTCTCTAATCTTAGGTACCGTGTCTGCATTCTCTTGCTCTAACCATCTCATGAGGTAGGTTTTTATCTTTGCACCCAGCTGCACATAAGTTTCCTCCCTCACCTTTGTCACACTTCTAAATTTTTTTCTCAACTGCTCTGAGGTAGTCCCAAAGCGTGTGTGTACACCTCAAAATTTCGGGATTGTTCCTCAGTCATTTGAGCGTATCTTTCGGCTAGAGGACCGCTTATTCTAGCTCTCAAGATCATCATTTTATCTTCCTCTCTCACCTGAAAATCGTGACAGGCTCTTTCAAAGGATACTAGATATGCTTCTGGGCTATCCCTATCTCTAAACTCAGGAAAGCGTTTTAAATCTATCTTCATTTGATTCTACCCATCGGTGTTATTACTATTATTACGATTTTCTAAAACCGTTAATTCCATCTGTCTCATCTCTAACTGAAACTGCTGCTGTTCCCTTTCTTTTACCAATTCTTCCTCAAGCCTAAGTTGTTCAGTTTCTGGCTCAGCCCTCAATTTTTCTTTTTCCAATTCCTGCTCCAGCCTAAATTTTTCTTGTTCAGTTCTATTTTTCTCAAGCTCTAATTTCAGGTTATATTCTTCAACTAATTTCCACTTTTCAAAATCCTCTGAAATATCTTTTTTAAAAAGGCTGCATTGGTGAGTTGTACCTTCTATGCCCAGAGTGCCATGTTCTATCCCTGCTGGGCTAAACATAGCAGGATTAAAATGTTCTAATATCTTATTCCTTTTCTTCCCATTAAATGCTATTTATTTGTGGAAATTATTTCACATACAGGCAGCCCCCCATTTAGGCCTGTTCAATATGTATGTGATCATGTATATGTGCATCGTGCTGAACAGGAAATGACCCGGAAATGTCATAAAGATGTCACTGAATCGTCACTGAAAAGGGGTGGGTTGTTGCAGGCTTTTTCAATGGGTTTCAGTTATACATGATTTCATCGACGCACGTGGTGCCTCGGAACGTAACCCCCACGTAAATGAGGGACTGCCTGTATTCACCTGTATCAGTTTTCCCCATATAAATTAAGATGCATTTTTTTTACTTTTAGGATAATGGCAGGAAAAGTCAAATGGGTTACTGACATAGAGAAATCTGTGCTTATAAACAACTTTGAGAAGAGGGGATGGGTCCAAGTGTCTGAAAATGAAGACTGGAATTTTTACTGGTAAGCAGTGTGTGTGTGTGTGTGTGTGTGTGTGTGTGTGTGTTGTGGCACATGTTGCATACATAATTACACTTATCTGGAAGTAAGCCCCATTGAACTCAGTACCTCCCAATACAAATTAACCTGAGGCCCTTCTTCATGTGCCCCCTCCATGAGAGGGCTGGAGGGTAGCAACACGAGAGCGGGCCTTTTTTGTGGTGACTCCCTTTTTGTGGGATGCTCTCTGGGGAGGTTCACCTAGTGCCTTCATTACATATATTTAGGCACCAGGCAAAAACACTCCTCTTCTCCTAGGCCTTGGGCTAATTCAACAATCTTTGGCCTTTCAAACCTGGGGGGGGGTTAATATTTTTTTGTTTGTTATCATGGTATATATTTTTGTGTTTTAAAATATATGGTCATCTAATTCCTGTGTATAAGAAGAGCATCTTGTTATGGTTCAGCTCATCAGTGGTTTATATTCATGCAGTTTTCTCTGCTCACTCCACTTATACCATAATTTGGAGAGGTAGCAGGTACGTGCGAAGCCCCTCCTGTTGTAATGATTCCTGGAGGAAAGCAGAGCTTGGAATGCAGAATAACAAGATAATTTGTAGGGTACAACAACAATTTATAGAATGCCTGCTCCACCTTCAAGAATGACTGCCTTTTGGAAATTCTCTGGAGAAGAGGTGGTGAGAAGAGTGAAGCAGATTTCTTATTAGATGTCTTCAAGTTGTCTGATGATTTTTTCTTCTGATCATATTTAATGCAACCTATCAGGTTGTGAGTTGCGTATTTTGGTGGAAGCTCAGTGACAATTTTCTCTTCACAGGATGAGTGTGCAAACTATTCGAAATGTTTTCAGCGTGGAGACTGGTTACCGCCTCTCTGATGACCAGATTGTCAACCATTTCCCAAATCACTATGAGCTCACCCGAAAGGACTTAATGGTCAAAAATATTAAGAGGTACAGGAAGGAATTAGAAAAAGAAGGTAGCCCTCTTGCAGAGAAAGATGAAAATGGAAAATACCTTTACTTAGGTGAGTTGTCTTGGCCAATTCTACTATTTGTATGTGCATTTTAAACACAAGACATGCCTCAGTAGCATGTACTATATAATAGATATTCAGAAATTTGGATCTTTGCCATCCAGTTCACACATCACATTAAATCATTGTTTAACTTACTGTGGAGCAGGGTGTCTGGTGCAGCTGCTCAAAAAGACCATAGTTCGTTCTCCTTCCCTCCTTTCTGATGGTGAGGAAACAAATCAGAGGCGGACTAGCTGTTTTGTGCAAAGCAGTCCTTGTGGTTTGTTTGTCTCCTAACAAATCATGATGGGGTTAGTTCTTGGCTTACCATTGTGGTTTGGTAGGCGACAAGGTCTGCTCTTGGCTTACCATAATAGTTTGTTGGGAAACATGTGTGAACCGGCACATGCTGTTTGTATAACGGCAAGCCACCCTCTGGTTTGATTTCTCGCTGGTGGACTGAAGGGACGAACAAAGTGTGCATTTCCTTTAAGCCATACTGAATCTTATACTGTGACTTAAAGTGGCGTCTGAACCAGGCCTGTGGTTTTCCAGTGAATTCTGCAGCTTACTCATCTCTCCGTGTGTCTTGCTCTGCTCAAGGTCAGTGACCACATACAGAACAGTTCAGGGGAAATGTAAGCACTTCAAAAGCTCTTAATTGTGTAGAGTACATCTTCTCAGGTACTAGGTAGTAGGATATCTTCAGTGTGAGGGTCTGAGGAACAAATCTCTTTCATGAAAGATCCCTAAAGAGGCAAGTTGAGAGTGGTTTTTTGCCTGTCCAGATTGTGTATGAGAGAGCATTAAGATAAAAACATCAGTGATTTTTTTGAACCACATCTCAGTTAAAATACAACTGAGACATCTGAGGGCTCAGATAACGTTGCTTTGAGGCCGGTACTTAGCTCAATAGGCCACATGTCAGTCGTGAATCAGCTGAGACAGATTTCTGAAAACGTCACATGGACAAGGTTTCTGAAGCATATTTTTGCAGATTTAAAAGAGCAGACATATTGAACACAGCCTTATTGCAAGTCTTACTACAGTTTTCCAAGAGTGTGAGAAAAGATGTAATTTGTCCAAGATCATGAGAGGCTGGTAATGGAGCAGGTGTTTAAAATCATGCTTGCTCTTTCCAAGAGTATAAAAAACAGACATGGCCTTGTTGAGGCCATCAGTTGTCGAGCTTGCAGACTGATCCAAACCAAGTTGACTTGGGTATAAGCCCAGTTGATTTCAATAGGATTTACTTCCCATTATGTATGCTTGGGTTTACAGCCTTATTTGGCCGTCTAGAATCAGACTTTTCCCATAATGCTTTTAGCATTACTATACTGTAAGTTGAGAGAATGCAAGTCCATTCTTAATATACTTACTATCAGTTAAGGTTGATATACACTTTCAGTAATTCTTGATAGTGAAGTTCTACAGATACTCTTCAACGCATGATAAGACGGTGAACAACAAAAAAGTTATTTCTCTGTCACCTGTTAATTGGTCTAAACCAGGCTTCCTCAACCTTGGCCCTCCAGATGTTTTTGGCCTACAACTTCCATGATCCCTAGCTAGCAGGACCAGTGGTCAGGGGTGATGGGAATTGTAGTCTCAAACATCTGGAGGGCCGAGGTTGAGGAAGCCTGGTCGAAACTATCCAAGCTTCTTTCTACTCTAGTATTAAACATGGAGTGCAGGTGTTGGAGAGAAGATGAGCCCTGTCACTGCCATCACCTTAACTAACAAACAACGTAGACTAGGATAGAATGTGAACAGGGCTGCGTTTTCCCCTTTAGTTTTATGTGTTGATGTATATACTGTATTAAATATTTTTAGATGATAAATTCCTTTGGGGACCATTTCTTTGCAAAGCACTGTGTACTTAAAGGTAAAGGTAAAGGGACCCCTGACCATTAGGTCCAGTTGTGGCCGACTCTGGGGTTGCGGTGCTCATCTCGCTTTATAGCCGAGGGAGCCGGACGTACAGCTTCCGGGTCATGTGGCCAGCATGACTAAGCCGCTTCTGACGAACCAGAGCAGTGCACAGAAACACTGTTTACCTTCCCACCAGAGCGGTACCTATTTATCTGCTTGCACTTTGACGTGCTTTTGAACTGCTAGGTTGGCAGCTCACCCCGTCGCGGGGATTCAAACCGCTGACCTTCTGATTGGCAAGTCCTAGGCTGTGTGGTTTAACCCACAGCGCCACCTGTGTCCCTACTGTGTACTTAAATGGCACTCTATAAAACTATGCTATATTAAGTCTTGGTTTTCCTTGGTGCGTTTTAGACTTTGTGCCTGTCACCTTTATGCTCCCAGCTGATTACAATTTATTTGTTGAAGAATTCCGGAAAAACCCTTCCAGTACTTGGATTATGAAACCCTGTGGAAAAGCTCAAGGGAAAGGAATATTCCTTATCAACAAACTTTCCCAAATTAAAAAATGGTCTCGAGACAGCAAAACATCCACGTATGTTTCTTCAAAAAGGGGTGGGGTCTTGTTTAACTCCTTGTTGCAGTCTAGCATGTTTGTCTGAATTTGTGACTTTCTTATTTTGCTGGAAGGTGATTCATAAGTGCTTCAAACAGTTATTACAGATTACAGGGCACTTCACGTGTGTAAGATAAAAATGAATCTAGAAATAGGTGTACAGAAAAGATGGGGCCTATAATATTGTAAGTTGTGGCACTGATTGCTTTGGTGTAATTGCATGGAATGATTTTAGTGCCCTTTTTAAAGGAAGTGGAAGCTGTTTTGGGAAGCACCAAATGACTATTAACTGTGGTGGATAGAGTTTTAAGAATATTCTCAAAACTTTTTGCCAGTCAGATTAAGACAAAAGCTATTATATTTAAAATCATTTATTTACATTAATGAGTCCTTGGAACTTCTTCCTACAAAGTGTCCCGTAGCTGCAAGAAGCACTCTGTGAGCAGCACATTGGTCGTCCTTGCTTTTAAATGCTTGCGGTCTAGGGAAGTTCTTTCTTTTCTCGGAAAGATTGAATCAGTCCAATCTGTCAGCTCTTCTTGTTCAACAGTTCTGCATATAGCACTAAAATGAAACTGCCTTTGTTACTTTTCTAGAGCTAGTTTTACAAATAAAAGCAAACAGTTGAATGCAACTAGCACATTTTAAATAATAAAATATACATTTCCCTAGGTTTATATCTCAGTCCTCTAAAGAAGCTTATGTGATTTCTCTGTATATCAACAATCCTCTACTGATAGGTGGGAAGAAATTTGACCTTCGCCTGTATGTTTTAGTGTCTACTTACCGTCCTCTGAGATGCTACATGTAAGTTGTCCATATTCTGACAATGCCCCTCTTTCAGGGTGAGAAGTGGCCCTCTGGAAATAAAAAGTGAGGGAGGGTAATTTTCATCCAGAGTTGCGAGGAAGTTGTATTTTAACTTGCTATATTTCCCTATGCATATTGGCAAGCTGGAGGGGAAGGGAGATTTTGAGTAACTCTGCTAAGTTTGTCAGATGACATTCTCCAAAATAACCCCATCTAGAAATTGTTTTATGTATCCCAGCAGGGCAAATCATAAAGAAAACAAACATTTGTTTGTTATTTCCCCCACCCCCATAATTTCGGTATGGAGAATTTGTTTGAACCGATTTGCACTGACACAAATTTGCACCCACAAAGGCAGGCAGTTTGCAGCTATCTTCTCCCTGCAAGTCTGGATGCAACCTCTGTGTCTCCTTCTCTCAGCTTGAAGGTGGTTCTGCTGGAAATCACTTTTGTACAATTTGGCATTGCCTTGAAACTTTTCACTTTCCTTCATTGAAATCTGTTTCTTTGTTCCATATTGGCCAAGATGTCTTTAGAAACTTTTGAAGTGCTTTAGTCTAAACCTTTTGGAATTAATCTTCTAATATCTCGCTTTTAATATTATCTTGAGAATCTCAAAGACTAATGAAATCATAGTTTGAAGAAACCATTCTTATTCTCTGTTATGGTTTGGATATGTATACAGGGTAGGAGTCAGATTGCTTAATATGTATTTTAAATACCAGTCTCCTAATCAGTTGAGTCATAACACCAGGTTGTTGGGGGGTTTTGGGCTGGGGAGAGAATCCAGGAAGTAATAGACCAGGCTTCCTCAACCTCGGCCCTCCAGATGTCTTTGGCTATAACTCCCATGATCCCTAGCTAGCAGGATGATGGGAATTGTAGTCTCAAAACATCTGGGGGGGCCGAGGTTGAGGAAGCCTGTAATAGACCAGCAGTCAGAATTCTGCATTCTTTAAGAACTTTTGGATGAATATCATCCAGCCCTGGCACCTTGTTAACTTCTAAATCTTTCCCTTTAGTGGACACAATATTTTGATTCACTAATAGAAAAATAAACAGGATTGCAAAAAGCATTGAGAAAAATTAAATACCTCCTTAATAACATTGATATTCATCATTATGAAACTGAGCAGTAAAATCCTAATCAAGGTGATTGTGCAGGATGCAGTGAGGACTGCAGCTGCTGTTTCCAGAATGCATTCAGGACATTATGATGTATTTAGTTGTTTTCTCCATAATAACTGTTGCTGTAATGTGTCCATTTATTGCTGTAATACATCCATTTATTGGATTAAAAGAAGTTTATTCATTTATTTTTTTAAGAATGCATATGCCAGCTTTTGATATCAATATTTCCAGGACAGTTTATAAGTTAAAATAAATAAATAAATAAATTGGTGAACAATAAAACCTGCCCCCTCCCTTTTTCTGCATTTCAGGTATAAACTTGGGTTTTGTCGCTTTTGCACAGTAAAATACACACCAAGTACAAGTGAATTAGACAACATGTTCGTGCATCTTACCAATGTTGCCATTCAGAAGCATGGGGTAAAGTTGGAACATTTTCGTATAATGTATATTTAAATTATTTTAAATAAATTTATAAACTGAACATATGTAATAAAAATACAGTTCCTCAGTCCCTTGATTACAACCTCTTTCCCATTGTTGCTTTAGTGGACTTACAGTAAGTGCTGTTAATTCCTGGGAGTTCTACTTCTGAGGGGAACAGGGTTCTCCTAGCAATTCTCAAACCCTTAGCAAACTACATTTCCCAGGCTTTTTTTGGTGGGGGGGGAGGGTAACGATCTGTTTAAAGTGGTACAATTCTGTTTAAAATGCACAGCGCTGATGGGGCCAATGTCTCTGCTTCTCCAACTAGCTATCCTGCATACAAAACCTGACTGAAGACCATTGTGACAGCTCCCTTTATTCTTTCACAACAGTATTGCTGTCCTTACTTACTTCAGAGTCTGGCTTGTGAACCTCCTGCTCTATTAGATCAACAAAGAACTGTTTGGAAAATGTTGCGAGTGTGTATACAGCTGATATCAAATCTATACTTTTTGATTTGACGCCTTGCCTCTGCAGGATGATTACAATCACATCCATGGTGGGAAATGGACGGTGAGCAATCTGCGCTTGTATTTAGAAAGCACTCGTGGGAAAGAGGTCACCAACAAGCTGTTTGATGAAATTCACTGGATAATTGTGCAGTCACTGAAAGCTGTTGCAGTGAGTAGAGAAACAAAAGAAAAATACGTTTTATAATGCTTCCCTCTGCTCATCCTGGTTTGAATATTGAGGCTGTAAATAAGTGTGATTATCTTTTCGGTGTCCTTTGAAAAAAAAGTCCACAGAGTTTATTAAGCAGGCAGTACGCACATTGTGTACAAATAAGGACTACCGTATTTTTTGCTCTATAGGACGCACTTTTTCCCCTCCAAAAATTAAGGGGAAATGTGTGCGTCCTATGGAGCGAGTGCAGACTCCTTGGCTTCAGCGATAGCAACGTGAAGCCTCCGAAGTGCAGAGGGAGCGCTCCCTCCGCGCTCCGGAGGCTTCGCGTTGCTTTCCCTGAAGCCTGGAGAGCGAGAGGGGTCCGTGCGCACCGACCCTTCTTGCTCTCCAGGCTTCAGGGATAGCCGCCTGAAGCCTTTGGAGCGCAGCAGGAACTCGTGCTGTGCTCCGAAGGCTTCGGGTTCCTTTTGCTGAAGTCGGGAGAGCAAGACTCTCTTGGCTTCAGCAGAGAGGGAGAGCTGCACAGCGCCCCTTCAGCGAGGCGGGAGGAGAAATGGAAGGGGCTCCATTTCTCCTGCCGCTTCGCTGAAGGGGCGTGGAGCAGGGAGGGGGAGAATTCCCCCCCCCCCCCTGTTCTCTCCCTCCTATGGTCCGGTGCGTCCTATAGAGCAAAAAATATGGTATATAAGAACATGAACATATCTCTGCTGGGCCAGGCCAGTGGCCCGTCTAGTCCAGTATCCTGTTCTCACAGTAGCCAGCCAGATGCCCAGGGCAAGCCTGCAGGTAGGACCTGATGGCAACCGTATTCTCCACTTTCCGGAAACTGGTTTTCTGAACCACGCTGCCTCTGAGCATTGGCTAGGGGACACCGACAGCCTTGTCTTCTGTGAATTTGGCTCCACCTCTTTTAATGCCACCAAAGTTGGTGGCCATCATTTTCCATTGTAGGAGCAAATCCCATGTGCTGTGTGAAGTCCTTTCTGTTGTCTCTCGTGAATCTTCCGACATTCAGCTTCACTGGATCTCCATGAGTTCCTCGTGTTATGAGGGAGAAAGACTTTAATTTATCCCCTTTCTGCATGCCATGACATTTCTATCCTGTCACATCTTATTTGCCTTTTTTCTAAACTAAAAGGCTCTATATGTGGAAACCTTTCCTCTTGGGAAGTTTCTCCATTCCCTCTTTTTGGGGGAAGTTTCCTCTTTTGAACTCAAATGTTCCTATGTTGGATTTTCTTGGCAAGTGGCCACTTACACGTTTATTTAATGTAATAGTCCTATGGTCACTCCTTCTTTTCAGTCCAGCAACACTTTACATCTCATACTTGGTCTTGGGTGCCACTTAAGATTAAGTCCAGGGTTGCCATCCCTCTGGTCGGTCCAAGGTCACAGTCATTTAGGGTTTCTATAAATGTTTGCCAAGGCTGGCATGTGTATGTGTGTGAGGGTAGTTGTGTCACCCATTAATGCATGAGTATTTGATCAGGGGACAATAGCATGCCCTCAGAACTAGATAATTTTTTGTATGATTGAAAAATACTTTTTAAAGAAGTATTACTTGGTTCTCATCACCAGGCTGAGGAATACGATCACGTGGCAGCTGCATCCTTAAGCCTGGCAACCACCCCCTTCAATGCAAAGCAAGACTTGGACAGGATCTCTTGAGCTTTGGGGGTTCTTAAAAGCAGTATGATGCCTGACACCTTCCTTTGAGTCCTTTATGGGTGGAGAGCAGCTGGGTTGGTGGCAATAACAAGCAGTAGCCTGTCAAACTTTTTGGACCCCCTTTTCTAGCCCACAATATGATTGTTTGTACCATTTATTGAGGGCGTCCCACAGCTGACAGCAGCCTAGCAAAATAGGGAGCATGTAACTGAAATGCCTTGCATATTTATTTCAGGAGTCTTAGTCAGACTCCGTAGCTAGTAAAATTGTACCGATGTTCATTTCTGCTCTCATGTCCATTTTCAACTCTTTCAGCCTGTGATGAACAATGATAAACACTGCTTTGAATGTTACGGATATGACATCATCATTGATGACAAGCTAAAGCCATGGCTTATTGAGGTAAGCAGAGTTATCTTGACATTGCAGGTTTCCTTTGAAAAGCAGTGTGGAAAAGGGGCCCTGCTCATTGGCTCCTAAAGGATTCCCCTTCTCCAGACTCTGAATGGGAAAGTCTTTGCTTTTGAGGAATACTACTCATAAAAAGGTGGGACGGGGTGGCGCTGTGGGTAAAAGCCTCAGCGCCTAGGGCTTGCCGATCGAAAGGTCGGCGGTTCGAATCCCCGCGGCGGGGTGCGCTCCCGTTGCTCGGTCCCAGCGCCTGCCAACCTAGCAGTTCGAAAGCACCCCGGGTGCAAGTAGATAAATAGGGACCGCTTACTAGCGGGAAGGTAAACGGCGTTTCCGTGTGCGGCTCTGGCTCACCAGAGCAGCGATGTCACGCTGGCCACGTGACCCGGAAGTGTCTCCGGACAGCGCTGGCCCCCGGCCTCTTGAGTGAGATGGGCGCACAACCCTAGAGTCTGTCAAGACTGGCCCGTACGGGCAGGGGTACCTTTACCTTACCTTTTACTTACTCATAAAAAGGTGTCTTATAATGAATCCTGGCCGTTGGCCCATCTAGTCTAGCACTGTCTGCCGTAGCTGTTGCTCTCCAACGTCGATATTTCCCAGCGCTGTTTCTGGAGATCACTTCTCATCAGAGATCCCAGGAATCGGCCACTCAGCTATGCCCCTCCTCACAGAGAAGCCTTGCTGCCTCCTGGTATGGGGCATAGTGGATGCTGAGCCCCTGAGCTGGGACTCGGGCTCTGCTGGCTCCTGCCATAGGGGAAGTGGGAAATGAAGCCAGGGCAACTATGGTGACCAAACTACGGCATCATAGCACCTGGTGGAACTTCGCAAACTTGGCTGTCTCGATTCATGAAAACCAGGGGCACGTTTCGAGATCTACAACTCTGCAGAAAAGCCTTGTTAGATGATGGGAAGGGAACCTGTGGCCCTCCCGTTGTTGCTGAGCTAGAACTCCCATTGTTCTTTGTCCATTGGCCATGCGGGCGCTGAGTCTGTGGAAATGGGCGTTTGTGGAAGGCTCTTGCCTGGCATTTCATTACCTGTCTTTAGGCACCAGGCGAAAACCTTGCTCCGTAACCAGGCCTTTGGCTATTTGGACCTTCTGTGGCCCTTCGCTTTTGTTCTTGTTTTATTCCGTATTTTGTGTTCTCGTTTTGAAATTGCCTTGGAACACTGTTTAAAAAGAAAAGCCTGACTAGCTTTTCAGATACCCTTTAATTGAATAACTTTTTGAAGAAATGCCTGAAGTAACTGATCCTATCGTTTGAAGTCTTGTTTATTCAGTTACATTTTACTCCAGGAAAACCCATTTATCCTAAATAGAACCCAATAGGGCCAACAAATATGTACAAAATATATGTTTTTAAATGTGATCCCAGTCAGATCCCAATTTTGCAGGACGCTCTTAGAAATATGAAATAATACATTTTTGGAATTTTTAATTCCTAATAATTTTTTATCACTTCAACCATTTTTTGGAATTTTGTAACTTTAAAATTTAAAGTAAATCCATCATGTGCCATATCAAATTAAAGTCCATGAAGTTCTGAAGAGATTGATATTTTTAGTTTGGAAATATCTCAATTCTGAGCTGAGCTTTTAAGATTTTTGTTTAGTCTGGCAAGGCTACAATTGTCAGTTTTTTTAAATTTCAAACCCCCACAACTCAAAAACGGGATGAGATAAATAAGTAAAATTTTAGATTTAAACTTAGTTCTGATCATTCAACAAGTGTTCAAAATTTTAAGAAAACTGGCTGATATGAGGTTAAAAAGTCATCAAAAATTGGGCAACTTGTTATGGAATGACCCTGAGGTGCTGTTGATGATTTATCATATTTCTGTTTGTGGAAGAATTGGTGGATGTGAACTATCTATTTTTCTCCCTCCTGTGTGCACTTCGTAGGTCAACGCTTCTCCTTCTCTTACTTCCAGTACTGCCAATGATCGTATCCTCAAATACAATCTTATTAATGACACACTTAACATTGCTGTCCCTAACGGGGAAATTCCAGACTGTAAATGGAATAAATCTCCCCCCAAAGAAGCCCTTGGACATTATGAGATTTTGTAAGTATTAATCATAGATAAAGCAATTGTCTGAACCTCTGCAAGTAGATGCTTTAGGGCTGCCTTTTGACTAGTATCTGAGTGTAACCTAGTCTTGGTGTTAACTCAGCAAAAACTCAGATGGCACATTATTACTTATTTCTTTTATGAATGACTTCTTAGAAAACATTTCTGAGCAATTTCAGACCATGACAAATGAATAATGCATAAAAACACAATGGTTCACAAGGTCTGTAGACTTAGTATTGTTTGTTAAATCCTTCCCAAAGCAATCCACAGGGATCTCTACTGCAGAAAGACCCATTTTATGGTGGAAAAAATAGTCCCGTGAAATACTTATGCCTCATACACTAAGATCGCCTGAATTGAGTCTTACTTAGGGTGCCAGGCGACTTAGCCATTCCTGATTCCAGCCTTGCACCCTTGACTTCTGTACTGTACCACACAATTTTTCTTCATTATATCTGGTTAAATATGTCTGTTACAGTTGCATCCTTCTGTGAATAGCTGTTGAAATAGCCATTATTCACTAGATAATCACATTATTAAGTACAGTGGTACCTCAGGTTACATACGCTTCAGGTTACAGACTCCGCTAACCCAGAAATAGTGCTTCAGGTTAAGAACAGCTTGCTTCAGGATGAGAACAAAAATCGGGCTCTGGCAGCGCGGCGGCAGCAGGAGGCCCCATTAGCTAAAGTGGTGCTTCAGGTTAAGAACAGTTTCAGGTTATGAACGGACCTCCGGAACGAATTAAGTACTTAACCTGAGGTACCACTGTATTTCAGAATGTTGCAGATTGCTGTGGCAAGTTATAAATGTGCAGTAGCTCTGAGGTTTGTTGCTGTTAAAATTTTAAGGTTCTTCTAGATGAGCCATTTGTTTCACTTGAGTGACATCACCGTCTGTCATTTATGCCATTAATCTTGAAGCAAAATGGAAAGTACTTACATAGTAAATGGCAGTTGAGGCTTTAGACGGTAGTGATGCACATCCCTGGAAGAAATAGTGCACTTGTCTGTATTGACAGGACATACACAGAAGTAACATACACACAGGAGTGCCTGGCGTGCTCTGGTCCATGGGGTCACGAAGAGTCGGACACGACTAAACGACTAAACAACAACACACAGAAGTAAACATTAACATGAAGCTTTCAATTCAAAATAACAAGTTCTTATTCTTATCTTCTGTCCTGTGATAGAGCCAAAGTACATAATCAGCAGTATAATGGTGGTATAGCTCTTCCTAAACTTCAGTGGTTTGTATCACTGTAGACTACACACAAGAAGTGGGGATTGTGTGTGTGTACAGCCAAAGTACATAATCAGCAGTATAATGGTGGTATAAAGGTAAGGGGACCCCTGACCATTAGGTCCAGTCCTGACCGACTCTGGGGTTGCACCGCTCATCTCGCTTTATTGGCCAAAGGAGCCGGCGTACAGCTTCTGGGTCATGTGGCCAGCATGACTAAGCCGCTTCTGGTGAACCAGAGCAGCACACGGAAACGCCGTTTACCTTCATAGCTCTTCCTAAACGTTAGTGGCTTGTATCACTGTAGACTACACACAAGAAGTGGAGATTGTGTGTGTGTATATATGAAATAGGGACGCGGGTGGCGCTGTGGTAACCCACTGAGCCTCTTGGCTTGCCGATCAGAAGGTCAGCAGTTCGAACCCCCACGACAGGGTAAGTTTCCGTTGCTTGGTCCCAGCTCCTGCCAACCTAACAGTTTGAAAGCACGTCAAAGTGCAAGTAGATAAATAGGTACCGCTCCAGCGGGAAGGTAAACGGCGTTAGTCATGCTGGCCACATGACCCGGAAGCTTTCTGAGGACAAATGCCAGCTCCCTCGGCCTATACAGCAAGATCAGCACTGCAACCCCAGAGTCGTCCGCGACTGGACCTAACGGTCAGGAGTATCTTTACCTTATATGTAAAATATCTTCCCCACACGGGTTTTCTGCATGCAGAAGAACCAGAAGTGTTCTCCTTCACATGCTTCCAATATGCATGGGGTTGGGGGAAGGGGGTTATTGGTTGGTTGGTTTTTTGTTCTCATTTTTATCATGTATTTTTGTGTTGTGATCCATCCCGATATTGTGGGTGGAATAATAATAATAATAGGCAGATAATTGGCAAGCATTCAATTCCTCCATCTACAACCTGTAGTAGCAAAGTCTAGGAAGAGCGGTACCACTTTGTTCTGATCATTGTTTAGCCCACCTGTGAATCCCATGGGACAATACTGACTTTCTCTTTGCCCTTAGATACGATGAAGAGATGGCACAAAGTGAAGTGTCAGATCGTGATTTGAGAAGTCGCTCTGGGCAGTCCATTGGATTGAAGGGAACTCGATCCAGAGACACTGGAAAATCAGGGCCCCTTACATGGAAGTAGCTGCAGAATGACCTGTAGACTGACGCTTCCTGAAATTCAGGGCTGTGGTTTTTGTAGGAAGTTTGCTTGAAACGGATGCTCAGATTTTGGATGACCTCCTTCCTGTTTGCAAAATGCTCTAATTGGGGGAAGTCATGTTGCGCAAAGAGGACAGAATATTTTTCTGTCCGGCAGTGACAAGTACATTGATGGACTGGACAAAATTGGTTTATTAGCATGTATATAAACAGTTATTAATCAGTTCATTGCAGTTTTACTGCAGGACTGTTATGTTGCATGTTGTATGAAATAGTTGTATTAATATATGAGTTAATATAATTGGAAATGAGCTTTTTACCGGTAAATAAATTACTGTGTCTTGCAAACAAGTGGTTGCTTTCTCACGCATTGCTACCATAGGGGTCCCCAATACTTTTCGGTTCAGAGGCACTTGTTTTGTTTTGGACTACAAAATGCCCATTTCATAGAACTAAGCCTGGTGATGCTCAGAATTCCTAAACGAGGGAAACGCCAACAAATAAATACAGAACTCAAGGCAGGTAACCCTCCCCCAACAACAACCCCCCCAGCCTTCCCAAACTGTCGTTTCAATAAATCAGCAGGGGCTGGAAACCTCAGTGGGCGCCAACAGCGTGATGTGCCCCCAGGTGCCACAGTGGACAAAAAATGCATCTTGAAATTCATATTTTGTAGGGAGAAAAGCTGTCTTTTTTCTTGATATTTTACTAGAATTGTAAGAGTATACTACTGAAAACACACATACTTTTTTATTTTGCAAAATACACCAAAAGACCAAATCAGTATGGTTCATGTTCGAAATGCCTGTTTTCAAACAACATATTTCCGCTTCTAAAAGCTGCTTGTAGAATGGGTGGGGGAACCTAATAAAGCCTTTGTGTACTGGGGATATTGTGACAGGCCTGCTGTCATGACTATATATAGCAAAGACCGATCTATAAGTTGTATGCTGATACAGCAATACGTTTCTGCACAATTTGATGTAACGGCTATTATTGGCAGAAACGACGTCAGTGTTGAGTTTCAAGTATCATTCGCCAATTGTTAATCTGGCAAGCACACTAAGAAACTGGTGCATTGCAGTGGGTTTGTCAGATAGCATCACAAATTGCTACATCAACATTTATTTTTTACTGTGAGGTGCTGTATTCTACTCTTAGTCTTTCCATTTTTGCTACTTAAACATGTCCCCACTTCAGTGCACTAAACCACAATTGTATGCAACTATAGTTGCCACTACTTTCAAGTCACAAACATGCTGCTGTCACTACTATTAGATGCTACCTTTTGACTTTGGCCGGTTGGTTACCTCTCCTTAGTGATTCTTCTATTTTCCTACCAAGGTGGTCTCCGAGAGAGACAGGAAAAAGGACATCATGTATGGGAAGAGATGCAGCAAAGTAGTGAATTTTTGCACCCCAAGTACACACAATAAAGACAACTCCTGCGGTGTTAGCCGATGTGAGACTGTGGCTCAATACAGACATCAAACCAAATCTTGATTTCTGAGCACCAAACTAGTTTAGAAGCCAAACGGTACTTCAAGCTTCCAGACAATTGAGCTTATATTATCATCATTCTATTTTACTATTATTTATTGTATTTGTTAGTCATTTCTTATAAGGTAACTCAAAGTGACTTGCTTTAAAATCAATTCAAAGCATCAAACAAAACCTAAGAATCTGCTGTGTAATGTTGGGGACAGTGAACAGCATGGGAGATAACTTGTGTGAAAGGGGAAGATGGGATTAATGAGGAACGCCTTTGTGTTGTGGCTTTAATTTTAAAAAGGCCTATTAATAGCTTTAAGGTTAAGAATGTTTATTTTGTGCAGTCTGCTTTGAAATCCCTCCTGGATTTCTCTGAGCCACTTCGTGGCTGGGAGAAAGCTGCTGCTAACTACATTTGCAGTCCAATTGTGAATGTCATGGTAGTGATGTCATGCATAAAGGCAGGTGTTTCCTCCTCCATCTCCCCAAACACACATTGTTAGGAAATGTTCGTGTGCCCAGATATTGGAAAGAATTATGCCGTTGTAAACAGAAGCATTTTATCATTGTAGCAGATACTTAATCTCCTGAGGAATCGCAAGATGGATGCTGTAAATACTAGCAAAGCAAAGTTTCCCCATATGTACAACTGGGCAGAAAAGCAGGGGGTTGCCCAGTTCACAACCTCGCCCACGGCACAGTGCATGATTCTTTTTTAGATAATAAAAGTTTTTATTGATTATTTTCACATAACAAATTACTTCAACAATTGTATTTTCCTCCCTTCCCTCAGTTCCTCTTTCTGATTTATTTGCATATATTGTTCTCTGCACGTTATGAGAATGTAAAAATCTCTGAGTTATCCATCTATTATGTTAACAAATAAATTTGTGCATGTTTATTCAAAACCTGCCAAGGAGTCCAACTCATTCTGTTGTTTTTTTAAGTACTTTGTAAAAGGTTCGCATTCCTCTTTAAAGTCAGTTGTCCTTGTCAGCACAGTGCATGATTCAATTGTGCACAGCGGACAGGCTGGCGGGCTGTAGATGCGCACAGACTGAAGCATCTTCTTCAAAGAATGTGGGTGCTATGTTTTACGTTAAACTGCTTTGTGGGGAGGGTGCTGTTATACCTAGCAGAGCTGTGAGATGCAGTGTGTCTCATGTGATATTATATTGGCTATAGCTGAGCCCTGGCATATTGTGAAGACTGGTACCAGCTGGGACACATTATTCAGCGAGCAAAGAGCAGATGGCTAGTATTAAGTAGTAGGTTGACAAAGCCGGCACATTCCGATTGGCCCTTGGACTTCTGTTTGAACTTCCTGCGCTCCCGCTTTGTCTGGTGCACGTCATCGTCTTCACTGGAGGATGCCTCATCACTGCTGGCCTCTTCATGATGCACTGGAACTGGCTTCCTAGCAAGATGTGGGCTGCTGGCCTTGCAGATCTCCTGGGTGGAGCGTTCAGCAGCTTCCAAGGCCGCGGCCTCCTCACTGGCTTTCTGCAGCGTGAGGTCTGGCTTGGCGAGGAGACACCGTTGCAGACGGATGTCCCGGACCCCGCAGACGATTCGATCCATCAGGGCATCGTCTAAGTCTCGGAACTCACAGTGCATTGCAGCCTGTCAGAGGGCAGCAGTGTAGTTGTTAATTGACTCCCCCTCTGCCGGGTTCCGGTGGTAGAACGCATGGCGGGCAGCAATCTTGGATGGCTTCGGTGCATAGTGGTTGCGGAGCTTCTCTTGAATCGTGTCCCACGGCGCTGCCTGGACTGTTAGAGGTGCAACCAATGCTCGGGCCGTCTCGAACACCTCGGGCCCACAGAGGCTGAGGAATAGGCCCCGCGTACTCTCCTCTGACACTTCCGTCAGCTTGTTGGCTTGGAGGTAGCAGTCGAACCGAGCGAGGTAGGAGTCCCATGATTCAGAGGCTGGGACAAACGGCGGTAGAGGCACAAGTGAAGCCATGATTCCGATGCCGACGTGGAGGGTGATGGATGGAACACAGTGCTCTAGCCAGTACAGTCAGCTCTGAATTGGTACTGTTCAGTGATTTCGCTCAGTGTTTCAGCTCAGTAAGTGTCCAAATCTGGCTGTGCTCTGACGTCCATCCGATCCCATCCTCGTCGCCAGTATTAAGTAGTGGGTTGACAAAGCAGACGACACAGAGATTTCTCCAAGTGGTTCTTTATAGTAAGCTGGAACTGAACAGCAAACAGCTCAGCCAGCCTGCTTTTATAGGCAGCCGGCTGTCAACATTGTAACAACCACCACCCAGGGTTTCCCGCCTAAAGTAAATGACGTGGACCTGAGTGAAAACTATATATATGATACTCCTGGTGGCCAGGGATGTGTACTTCAATACATAACAGCTAGAGCTCAAACAACACAGTTAAAGCTGCCTGTTTGTTGTGACAAAGTGCTGATGGTTAAGGACAATATGGCACATGATGCAGGGTCCCCCCACTCTGACACAAACTCCCTGTGGTTTGGGCATGTCCCACATGCAATTCTATCTCGGATCCTTGTCTACTACAGTTTGAGCAGGCCTGAACAAGCTTTAAAAGCGTCAGCCTACTAAAAGTCTTAATCACCGCATGATCCATAGGGACAAGGTGAGTTGACTCCCCTATTTTATTGGGGGGGGGCAGCTGCTGCTTGTTCCATGGGGCTGGAGGATGAGGACATCAGCAATCCGTGTTCTGGGAATTTTTATTTGAAGCCAGTTCTATTCGGGTCCAAAATTGACAAAATATGAAAGATCTGCATCTTCTGATCTCTTTTTCTTTGCTTCCTCACAGCTTATGTATTTTCCCCTGTTGCTGCTAGCTACACTGAAGGGGGGAAACATGCAGTAACCTGTATGTCTCTGAAGGAAGAGATAGGAGAGCCACCTTCAAATTTCTTAAGGGCTGTCACATGGCAGAAGGAGCAAGCTTGTTTTCTCCTGGTCTGGAGGGTAGGACCAGAACCAATGGATTCAAGATACAAGGAAGGAGATTCCGACTAAACATCAGGGAGAACTTTCTGATCCTAAGAGCTGTTTGACAGTGGCATGGACTCCCTTGGGAGGTGGGTGGTGATGGAGTCTTGCTTTTAAGCAGAGGCTGGATGGCCATCTGCCATGGATGCTTTAGTGGAGATTCCTGCATTGCAAAGGGTTGAACTAGATGATCCCAAGGGTCCCTTCCAACACAGGTGAGGGAAACTGCTGTCCTTGCCTCCCTACTGTGGGTTATGGCATTCTTAAAAAAGGAGTATGGCTGCACACACCCCATACAACTGAAGCACATAAAAGGTAAAGGTAAAGGTACCCCTGCCCGTACGGGCCAGTCTTGCCAGACTCTGGGGTTGTGTGCTCATCTCACTCAAGAGGCCGGGGGCCAGCGCTGTCCGGAGACACTTCCGGGTCACGTGGCCAGCGTGACAAGCTGCATCTGGCGAGCCAGCGCAGCACACGGAACGCCGTTTACCTTCCTGCTAGTAAGCGGTCCCTATTTATCTACTTGCACTTAGGGGTGCTTTCGAACTGCTAGGTTGGCAGGTGCTGGGACCAAGCAGCAGGAGCACACCCCGTCGCGGGGATTCGAACCGCCGACCTTTCGATCAGCAAGCCCTAGGAGCTGAGGCTTTTACCCACAGCGCCACCCACGTCCCTGAAGCACATGGCTTCCCCCAAAGAGCCCGGAAGACTTCAGCTTCAGGGTGCTGAGAATTATAGCTCTGTGAAGGGGAAACTAGAGTTCCCAGGATTTTGGAGGGGTCGGAGCTCTGTGCTAACTGAAACCTCCATGTTCAGAGGCAGGATATCACTAGTTACCAGTAGCTGAGGCCAAACAGTGAGGGGGAGCGATTGCCTTGATTACCTGCTTGTTTGGCAGCATCTATCTGGTCCCTGTTGGGATACAGGATGCGGGACTTGGTGGACTTTTGGTGTGCTTCAGAAGAGCTTGAGCAACCTCTGCACAAGGTTAAGCAATTCTCAAAAAAGAGGGCTAGAAAAGTATTTGGCAAAATGTATTTTGCAACTTCTTTGCGAAATAGAATACATGCTCTGAATGGGAATAAAAATTGCAGCCTCTACTGCACATGCATTTGAATTTCTAAAACATAACATATTCAATCATTTGGTTTGTGTGTGCAGTTAAGGGGGAACTGGACTAGCAAAGTTACAAAATCAATTAAAAGCAAATTCTAAAATGCAAACTGAACCACAGTACACACAGGAATATATCTATATCTTATATAACAGAAGTATGCACAGTTTTGTCCATAGGTTAAAGAGAATCATATGATAAAAAGGTGCAAAAACGTTACAAAACAACTTTGGGAACAAGAGTGGGAAACTGAGGAAGAGATAAAAATTACAAAACCAAGAGATTCTTGTGTCATTTGGGCTAATGGTTGGGTATCTCTACAAACAAGGAATAGCTACATTCCTGCAAAGAAGATGCGTTCAGAAATGCAAATGCCTGCCTTGAAACTAGAGACAGCAGCTAAATCTCGATTACAGTCAAAGAATGACAGAAAAGGTTCACAGGTAGTTCCGTGGCCATTTAGAGAGTAACATCATTTCCCACCAGGGGGCCTGTGTGGGTTAGTATTTTCCATTTATGAACGAGTTTAAAAAAACCTTTGCCAAGCCCAATCCTGCAACCATTTACAGTAGAAGAAGACAATCAATCCATTCAAAATGGCTGAAACAATGCGCTTTGTGAGCTCCCATTCCCCTCTGGCAGTCAGTGCCTCTCATACCAGAGCTAGTAGGAAAAGGGTTCATGGAGCTGAGGAAGAAGACTTCTGGGCCAAACCCTGCAGAGCTGCCATCAAGTCAGTGCAGATGATGCTTAGCTAGATGGACCAACAGCCCGTAGCACCTTGCGGTCCTAATTAAAGATGTAATTGAGGCAAATTATTGACAAAAAGAAAAACAAATAGCTGTGGAACGCCCTCCCACCAGATGTCCAAGAGAACAACTACTACCAGACTTTGAGAAGACATCTGAAGGCAGCCCTGTTTAGGGAAGCTTTTAATGTTTGATGGATTACTGTATTTTAATGTTTTGTTGGAAGCCACCCAGATGGGCTGGGTATAAATAATAAATTGTTGTTATTATTATTACAATAAATATGTAGAATAGCTAAGCAAGTATTAGAAACCACCCCAGAACTGGCCATACTAAACATATTCCAAGACAATAATGCCCACTCACATCACAAAAGAACTCATAACCCACCTTCTTCTCAGCAACCAGAAACATCATAGCCAAACACTGGAGAGACCTGTCAGGAGTAAGCATGGCCCAATGGTACCAAATAGTATGGGAAACAGCCCTACTAGAAAAATTAACCAATAAACTGAAACTGACACGGGGACAAATAGAAGAAGATACCTTCACCCCGGTATGGCTCCCCTTTATCACATACACAGCCCAACAAGACAATGACAAGAACCCGCCTGTGGCCTTTGTACAGAGACCCCGGTCCTTTCACAGACTATTGACCTGTACACCACTATTTTATCCTTCCGCTTAACACCAATTTTGCGGGGAAAACCCCAGGGTTCCCCGGTGAAGTATTGAGTCTCAGTCAGGTAGAGTTAACAATGAAGATTAAAGTTTATTTCAAATACAATCAAGTTTTAAACTATATTCCAAACGCTGCCACTCTATTCCTTCTCAGTCTTGTCCCTGTCTCTAACTCACTCCGACTCCTCCCCCCCCAAAAAGAACCAACTGAACTAAAAACGACAAAAAACGGCTTTCTTACTGGTCAACCTGTTAACCCTTTCTCTCCCCCAATACAAACGTATCCCCAAAAATCGGGCAAATGCCACACCGCCAACAGCATGCAAATTAATATGGCTTAACCCGATTCAAAAACACCTCCCCCCCCGAAAACCAAGTTCACCACAGCCAACCCCAAACAAGCAACCGCACCCTAGGCCAACCCCAATTTCTCTCACCACCAAAGGAACGCAAGTGAATAGCAAAAAGAACCTGCACAAAGGACGCTGACACAAAACCCCACACATACATTAACCAAAATAGAAACCTCTCCTCCTGACCCCACCTCCACCCCCCCATGGCCTCCTCCACCTCTTCCCCCCTTTTCTTCCTAATGTAACCCCAATGTCTCAACAAATGAAACTGACCTATGGAAAATGTAACTTGAAAAAATAGACATTGTGCATACCTTTGTAAACCAAGAAAACTTTAATAAAAATACAGTGGTACCTCGGGTAAAGAACTTAATTCGTCTGTTCTTAACCTGAAACTGTTCTTAACCTGAAGCACCACTTTAGCTAATGGGGCCTCCCACTGCCCCCATGCCGCCAGAGCACGATTTCTGTTCTCATCCTGAAGCAAAGTTCTTAACCCGAGGTACCATTTCTGGGTTAGCGGAGTCTGTAACCTGAAGCGTATGTAACCTGAAGCGTATGTAACCCGAGGTACCACTGTTTTAAGGAGGAGGAGGAGGAAGAGGAGGAGGAAAAGGTGTTGCAATGGAGGAGGGCAGGGGAAAGAAATCTGGCACTCATTCTTTCTTGCTACAGAACTAAAAGATTTCTCCGCTTTTTCTCTTGGGTTAGCGGTCACCCTAAGGGGAAACAGGCATAGCTGTCAAGTGTCCCTTATTTGAAGGGACAGTCCCTTATTCCAGCGCCATGTCCCGCTGCTGTCCCTTACTGATGAATGTCCCTTAAATTTCAAAGGAAGCAGCTCCTCTCCCTCCCTCCCTGCCGGCCAGGGAGGAGGGAGGCTCCAACTGTGTTGCTTGGCTGTGTTGCTCACCCAATAAGAAGTCTAACAACAACTGGGGAGTGGAGTTTGCATGCCTTGTGTGTGGCTAGTTAATGCAAGCTGAGGGGGTTTTTGAATGCTGGACGCCATTTTGTTGCACGTGCTGCTGCAAACTTTGCAGTGCAAAGCCAGGCCGGGGAGCCATCTTAAGTTGAGGCTGCACAGGCCTTGTGGTGCATGTGATTCAGATTCTAGTCAGTTGAACCTCCGGTTACAAAGTTGGTTGGACAGTGTTCTCGAAGCTACCAGCATTAGTTTGACCAGACTGCAGGAGGACAGGAAGACTGGAGTGCCTGGAACAGGTGAGGCTGCAGGTCCCTTATTTTGGCTGCTGGTCCCTTATTTTCAAATCTGTAAATTGACAGCTATGGAAACAGGTGTCCCCCACCCCACCCCCTTAGAGGAAATGGACTGATCGGAACCAGTCTATGACATCAGCTCAGAATCCCAACCTCACTTGGCAGTTGAGGCCCAGCCTTGGTTCAACATCTCTTGGGTGGCTTAGCTGATTTTTAAAATTTATTTTAAAAATCACACATCGGACAGCGAGAAAGCGGGAGTGACAAGCAGCCAAGTCTGAAGATGGGAAAAGAGGAAGACCCTAGGGGGCTTGGAGAAGGAGATGGCGGCGGCCGCAGGAGGGGAGCTGAAGTCCCAGCTGCAGAAGCAGCAGCCTCTGCCCGGCGGCGGGACCCAGCCATGTTGGTGACCCCGGCAGCGTGGAGGCTGCTGGGGACGCCAGGAGAAGTCCCCCTCCTGAGGCCTGGGGACCCAGCACCAGCAGCCCTGCCTCCCCCCTCATGGCCTGGAAGAGCAAAATGAAGAAGACCAGAGCTCTCTGCCCCCCCGAGCCAGAGGAGGCGGCGAAGCAGCTGCAGGACGTGGGGTCCCTGCAAGAGCAGCCTGGCCTCAGAGCAGCCAAGGGCCACAGAATCCACCTGCCGAGGGCCCGGGGCCCCCGCCTGGCCACCAGAAAGACCAGCTGGAGCCCAAGGCCAAGAAGACCCCCTCATGCCTCAGTTCCCTCGTCTCCAGAAGGCCTTCGAAGCGGCGCCGCCCCCTGCGCCCAGCCCCAGCCGGAGCGGGGCGCCAGCTGCTGGGCATGAGGCGGCTGAGGCGCCGGCTGCGTGTGTCACTCCGCGTAGGAACAGCGCCGCGTCCCAGGACGAGCTCTGCTAAGCCCCGCCCCCAGGCTCGGGTCTCCTCCGAAGAGGAGGAAGTGAAGCCCCGCCTTCCATCTCGCGGCTCCATCCCCAACTGCCCTCAGCCTGCGCCAGGAAGCCAGCAGCCTTGATCGACAGCTCACGGAGGAAGAACACGGGGAAGCGGGGCGCCGGGCCGGCCAATGGGAGGCGGCGCCCTGGCGGCGGCGGCCAATCCGCGCGGGAGGGCGGGCGGAGGAGGAGGCGGGCGAGCGGGAGAAGGGAGTCGCTTCGGGGCGGAGGCTGCGGACTCGCTCGGGCGTCGAGGTGCAGGGCGGACGCGGCGCGGAGGGCAGGACGGAGGGCAGCTGGCCTAAGGCTCCCCGGAGACGGAAAGGTGAGCTTTGAAGCCAGACATGTGTTCGGCTCTGTCTTTCCTCTGCTCGGGTCCTGAGGGGGGAGGTGCTTCTCTGCTCCACTTGGATTCATTTCTCCAGCTTTTCTGGTGGCCGCTGCTTCGGGTTGAAATCAGAGGCTGGCTCATGTAATTCTAACCTTGGCCATATATTTTGCTTAGTTCTTCCAGAATTGCCCCCACCCCTAATTGAGAATGCCTTTCAGGAGCTGCAACAAAACAAACTGAAGAGCTGAGAAATGTTCCCACCCATCGGATTGCCTTAATGCACTTTCCTTAAGTGCACCAGACAGTTCATTGATTTGGGAAACATGTATGTTGGAAACTTGAGACTTGCTCCCATCTTCATGAGGATGAAATGTTCACTTTTACATGTACCGTATGCCTTACTTTTGGGTCCCCTGAAGCCCGCAGATCAGTTCATATAGTAAGACTGCATACAATATTATAAAACAGAATAACAGCTTCAGTTTTAAAAATGAGAACAAGAATGCTGAGAACAATATTTTTTATTTGGGTACCTGGTGGAAGAGATTAGTCTCTACTAACTTTTCAAAGAGTCTACTTAGTAGAATGAGCTTGGCATAGATTGCTTAGGAATACTATAAAGGCTGCCACTATCCAAAAAGCTTTATTTCAATATAGAAATGCAAGCTTGAGTTGTTGAGTGTAGTCTCAATATTCTCTCTCTCTCTCTATATATATATGAACTTTGCTATATGTCTTTTGAAGGTTTTTGGGATCAGAGTTGTTCATTAAATATGCTACATTTCCTAGCTCTTTGCGCTTTAAATTTTCTAGCCTGGAGCTATTTGCTGCAAACTGGCCTAGTGTAGCCTTGAGGCCCTTTTGTGAAGCCAATTTGCTCTCATTAAAATGAAATCTAGTTTCTCAGCATTCTCAAGATCCTGGCCCTTGTCATTTAAGAGAAGCCTTAGTTGAATAAGTTACCTGTTACAACCTACGTTAGTTTAGCGTGTTCCTGTAATCAGTAGATTTAAGTCTTATATTTTATAGTGGGAATTATCACTGGCAGTAAAAACCTAGGTCATGACATTTTATATTTTTATTCATGTTCTAAGTACTTAATACTTGTTTCCATTTCAGATCTTGTGAAAAGCGGTATGATAATTGTGTGGTGGTGGACTTTCTGGATAGAGGCTTTCATCCTGTTGTTGTTGTTTAGTCGTGTCCGACTCTTCGTGACCCCATGGACCAGAGCATGCCAGGCACTCCTGTCTTCTACTGCCTCCCGCAGTTTGGTCAGACTCATGTTTGTAGCTTTGAGAACACTGTCCAACCATCTCGTCCTCTGTCGTCCCCTTCTCCTTGTGCTCTCCATCTTTCCCAACATCAGGGTCTTTTCCAGGGAGTCTTCTCTTCTCATGAGGTGGCCAAAGTCTTGGAGCCTCAGCTTCAGGATCTGTCCTTCCAGTGAGCACTCAGGGCTGATTTCCTTAAGGATGGATAGGTTTGTTCTTCTTGCAGTCCATGGGACTCTCAAGAGTCTCCTCCAGCACCATAACTCAAAAGCATGAATTCTTCGGCGGTCAGCCTTCTTTATGGTCCAGCTCTCACTTCCATACATCACTGCTTTCCTCCTAACGTAAACTAATTTAGAGAGGTTTGTGGAAGGACAGTTTCCGATATCCTCTTCCTCATGAAGCCACCTGTGTCCCAAATAGTCTGTCCAGAGAATCAGAAGGGGGTTCCAGAACCATGTGAGATGGTGTGCAGGGGAGTGGAGGGGTAGAAAACACTTCTGTGGATTTCATAGAATCATAGAATCATAGAGTTGGAAGAGACCACAAGGGCCATCGAGTCCAACCCCCTGCCAAGCAGGAAACACCATCAGAGCACTCCTGACATATGGTTGTCAAGCCTCTGCTTAAAGACCTCCAAAGAAGGAGACTCCACCACACTCCTTGGCAGCAAATTCCACTGTCGAACAGCTCTTACTGTCAGGAAGTTCTTCCTAATGTTTAGGTGGAATCTTCTTTCTTGTAGTTTGGATCCATTGCTCCGTGTCCGCTTCTCTGGAGCAGCAGAAAACAGCCTTTCTCCCTCCTCTATGTGACATCCTTTTATATATTTGAACATGGCTATCATATCACCCCTTAACCTCCTCTTCTCCAGGCTAAACATGCCCAGCTCCCTTAGCCGTTCCTCATAAGGCATCGTTTCCAGGCCTTTGACCATTTTGGTTGCCCTCCTCTGGACACGTTCCAGTTTGTCAGTGTCCTTCTTGAACTGTGGTGCCCAGATTTCTTTAAGTTAACTTGCTTTAGGATCCAAGATCTGGCTGATCTCCCTCCACCATGATGTCTTAAACTCCTCCTAATATTTCCCCCCCATGAGGATTCCCCCATCCAGAGATGATTTTCAGGGGGTGTAGGTGACTTCAGAGGTCAGGAGGGGACAGGAAACTTTTCTTTCTTCACCATCTTTCCGTTCCCTTAGTATTCAACAAGCCATATTAATGACTTTGCAATGATGTGTGTTGCAAAAACCCAGTCTTGAACTTTAACCCAACTTTTTAATTTTTACTTATTAGGAATTAACTTAGAAATCTTAGAAAACTGCATAACATAGCTGAAGTTTTCAGAGCAGTGAATATGGAGGACTGCAATAAATACCTGTCTCTTACCTGATCTTCTTGATATATATATCTTCCAAGAGATAGTGTCATACTTTGCAATCCTTCTGGCTTTTCTGCTAATCACAAACACTGGCTCATTAATTCAGACAACACATTAAACCAAAATAAGCAGCCTTCTGTAACAGGTGCTTGACCTAATGTCCAAATGGACAGTGTTTGTTGCTATGGCATCTGCAATACAAGCCTGACCCTTGAGACTATAAAAACGTCTATATCATTATCTATCTACAGTGTTCTGCTGATCTAAATGAGACAGCTTTTAGTCTTAAAGGGAGCTTCCTAGTTAGGAGGAGTTGCCATGAAAGGGGAACGAACTCTTGTCATACAGAAATGTGTATACTTGTTGTGCGTGCAGATTACGTAATATGCCAAATGGTTACTCTTGCAGGGTGTTTCACAAGTGTCAGTTGTTACTGAGTTTAAATTCAGATGAAGTGCAAAATGAACTCCTAGCTTCCATTGTTAACATAGTCTTGGTTGGAGGAGAAGGAATTAACTGATAGGCCAGGAGAACACTGAATGGTTTGATTCTTTGCTGTTGCATGACTACCCGATTTTACTATACTGTGGAATCAGAATCAGCGTTCGAAATTAAATGGTTGCCAGCTGGTTTTTTGTGACTCACTCCACCTAGCAAAGGAGATCTTGAGATCTCTGGCTACTGTTCCTTTTCTGCTTGCTCCCCAGGAAGCTTTTTGATGTGCTAAATGAGCTGTGAAGAAGCAGTTGTGAGGGGACAGACACTTTGTGGTTTGCAAACAAATGGATTGCTTCTCTCTTGCAGAGGTGGGGCCCAGCAGGGGAGATCTAGCTGTTTTGCTGTGACTTGGTAAACTGAAAGAAAATGGTTCACCCCAGGGAGATCCAGTGTGGTGTCATGGTTAAAGTGCCTGTAGGACTAGGACTTGGGAGACCTGGGTTCAAATCCCCACTCAGCCATGAAGTTCACTGGGTGTTGCTGTCCTCTGCGTGCCTAAACTTAAGTCCCAATGTGTTCTCTTTATGACCTGTTTTGCTATGGCTGGTCACAACCCTCTAAATACCACAAATTGCAAGAAGAACCAAATATATTCTCTCTCTCAAAAATAACAGAAAGTGCTGCTGCATTGGGGAGAAAAATGGTGACTAGCCATTCTGGTTTTGTGCCCGTAGCTCAGGAGCCATGTGGCAAATAGCTTTCCTATCCCAATTTCTAACACTGGAATATGTATGCTGTCTGAATGTGTCATCTGAATTTAAAAATTATTGTGGCAAGATAAAACTGTGTATGCTTTGAAACTGCTTTAAAGGTAAAGGTACCCCTGCCCGTACGGGCCAGTCTTGACAGACTCTGGGGTTGTGTGCCCATCTCACTTAAGAGGCCAGGGGCCAGCGCTGTCTGGAGACACTTCCGGGTCACGTGGCCAGCGTGACAAAGCCGCATCTGGCGAGCCAGCGCAGCACACGGAAACGCCTTTTACCTTCCCGCTAGTAAGCGGTCCCTATTTATCTACTTGCACCCGGAGGTGCTTTCAAACTGCTAGGTTGGCAGGCGCTGGGACCGAGCAACGGGAGTGCACCCCGCCGCGGGGATTCGAACCGCCGACCTTTCGATCGGCAAGCCCTAGGCGCTGAGGCTTTTACCCACAGCGCCACCCGCGTCCCCCAACTGCTTTAGTGACAATTAAACATTTTTTAAATATCTGATTCTTGTACAGTGCAGTGAAGACTGCCACATTTGCCTAAAGGCTACTGAGATGTAAGTTAGGGTTCTCCTGTGTCCCCTCACTGTGTTCGAGACCTGTGCTTGCTTGATTTTTTTTTGCTGATAAGTAGCATCTGAACGGGACGCGGGTGGCGCTGTGGGTAAAAGCCTCAGCGCCTAGGACTTGCTGATTGCATGGTCGGCGGTTCGAATCCCCACGGCGGGGTGCGCTCCCGTCGTTCGGTCCCAGCGCCTGCCAACCTAGCAGTTCGAAAGCACCCCCGGGTGCAAGTAGATAAATAGGGACCGCTTACTAGCGGGAAGGTAAACGGCGTTTCCGTGTGCGGCTCTGGCTCGTCCGGTGCAGCTTTGTCACGCTGGCCACGTGACCCGGAAGTGTCTCCGGACAGCGCTGGCCCCCGGCCTATAGGGTGAGATGGGCGCACAACCCTAGAGTCTGTCAAGACTGGCCCGTACGGGCAGGGATACCTTTACCTTTACCTTAGCATCTGAAGAGGCCTTCAGTCTAAGCATAGCTTGAAACTATGAGGTACTGTAGGACTTTCATGCAAATATATTAATAACCATTTAAGTTTGGTGGTACGTACTTGGCTTTCGATTATGTATTTTAAAGTGAAACTTGTTTTGTGTATTGACAGCATAAACTGGAGTTGCTGTGTGAGTTTAGAGTTGTGGAACTGCCTGCTCCTTGCACTATGTTCAGATTACATATTATAAAAGCATGACTCTTTCTTACTTAGACAAACATTTGCTTTAGAGGCATTTGGTTGATTTCATGTATGTGACCTGTAATTAGTTGTGCTGACTTGGCTTGGCAGGGTAGGGTGGTAGGCTATACAAGCATTTGAGAAGGTAAGAAATGTTGTTTGCTAAATAGACTTTAAGTTGGGTGTAACTTCAGTCTAGGGGGAAAAACAAGACTCTCCAAGGTCTCTTAGGATGCTTTAGCTGCTTATGAATTGGGTTTTCCCCTGCACATGCTATATATTTAATTGTATTGAGACACTTTAAGGCAATTCCAGTTCATGTATGGAAGAATGACCAAAGGTAGACAAGTAACAGAGCTCTTGAGTCAGATCCAACCCCGGGTTCTAAGAGATCCCTCCTGATAAAATTCTCAAGATAGAAAAGGTTTCCATTTTTGGATGACTCTGGGTTGTACTTCCCTAGAGGGAAACAAGAAGCATTGCTGAGAAGCAGGGCAATAGGTAGAAGGTAAAAATTCAGCCATGAAGCTCACTAGGTGACTTTAGGCTCAGAGACAATGGCATATCCAATGTACCTTACAGTGCGGTAGAGGATAAAGTGGAATAGCCCCATGTATACCATCTTGAGCTCCGTGAAGCAATGTGAGAATCTAAAGGAGACAGATATATGTAGTTGACATTCATAATGACAGCTCTCTTTAATACTCTGGTTTGGGAAGGCTTTCTTTGGGCCACTTCAGTTGTGATTTAGACTGATTTATTGCATCGTCTTCCACATGTAATATGATTCCTTTTGTCTGAAAATCAGCATATATTTGGGGTAATAGTCTGAGTGAATTCATATTGCCGATGCCTCTTGCAAGTTAGCTTAAGGCAAACATTTTATGAAAAAAAGTTTTGGTGTACCCCTCAAAAGAAAAAGCAGACAAAGTCTAATGAATTTTAAAGCACTACTAAAGTTTGTATAAAATCTATTATCCCAGTGGTTTATTTGGGGAGCATTAGGCAAGGTACAAGTTTGTCATCTGAAAAAATGTCTAGGGAAATATAT